TCCCCTCCATCATCCCCGCCCCCGCTCTCCGCACGCGTCACCGCCGCTCCGCTTCTTCCGTGGCTAAAAGAGCCGACCCAAGTTAAGCGCGCGAAGCAGATCAATCTTTTCGGGCCGATCTAGTTAGAAATAGCGGCCCATCTCGGCCCACTATTGCCTTTTGGGGTCCAGAAAAGAAAGGGAAAAATAAAAGGAAAAAAACCCAGTCACGCAATGGGCCCCATGCCAGAATAAACTGTGTTTTGATTTCAAATTTGGTCCATCGAAGGAGGTTGGTGGGTCTTGGTGACTCCCAGCTGGTTGTGTGAGCGGGAAGTTACGAGGCTGAGATGACCATTGTCAAGTATCTCGTCGTGCACAAGTTAGTTTAAGTGTCTTTCGACTCAATATGTAATGGGTCCTTAAGCAGAAAATATTAAGGTTGATGCACTTTTCAGATTAGCCTTCATCCTAGTTCTAAGGGAGAGCTGGTTGTTGGTCAAGATGTTGTCGATCCAAATCATTAAAGAGCATGATGTGTCTACGATCGAGAAGGAACTAAACTGGATGGACGAGATCTTGCGTTGACGCTCCTGACTAACTTTGTCACGGTCTAGAGAGTCAAGCATCACTAAATATAACATTACATAATTAATAACCGTATGTATCGAAAGTCCTTTAGCTAACTATTCCTCTGATATATGATGCCCCAGGAGGTCGAGAGGATGCTCGTCGAGATCCATGAAGGCATTTACAAGAAACACAAAGGCGGGCAAACTTTTGCATTCAAAGTGCTATGACAAGGGTTCTATTAGCCAACTTTGTGAGAGGATGCAATGACCTATGCCCAGAGGTGTCATAGGTGTTAGGATTTACTCGGATACAACATTAACCATCGATCGCTGTAAGCTTGATCTACTGTGCATGACCCTTCACCCAGTAGGACATGAACCTCCTAAGACCCTTTCCTCCAACCTCAGGATAACGTAGATTCCTCAACATGTGATTAGACTATTTCACAAAGTAGGTTGAGACCAAGTCTCTAGAATCGATCACTGAGAAACAAGTTGAGAGGTTTATGTGGAGGAACATCATCATCTAGTTCGAAATCTCGAGAGCCTTCATCACTGACAATGAGACCCAATTCAACAATGTAAAGTTTAAAAAATTCTATCAATATTATGGAATTCAACTAAGATTCAACTCGGTGACTCATCCTCAAACTAATGGTCTCGTCAAGGTTACCAATCAAGTCATTCTCGATGGATTGCAAATGAGGATTGTTGGAGCAAAAGGTATGGGTGGATGAGTTATTAAGCAACCCATGGGCCTCCCAAACAACATCCAAGACCGACTCAAAAAAATCGTCATTCAATCTAGCATTCGAACTATCCTACCATTTAAGGTAATTTTCAAGACACATCGAATTGAGAACTTTAACGAAGAAATATCGAAATAGGAGCTTTGAGTCAGGATAGACCTGATCAGCGAAGTTAGAGTATAAACACACATACGAGCATTGAGATAAAAAAAGAAGACGACGGATCTCTACGATCGAGGAGTCAAAAAACTTAAGCTTCGAATGAGAGCTTGATGCTTTAACCTTAAAGCCAATTTGAATATTTTTGTACCTACCGTCATATTTAGACCATGTCGGTTAACTTCAACAACAATCATTGCAGGTAGCTATCATATCGAATCCAGTGGCATATTATAACATCAATAACCAATTGCAACAGCGTCCAAAGCACACAACATTATTGGACCGGAATAACTGCTGACTCGGATCCCTGTTTTATATTAATTAGAAATGACGTCACGAATGGTCATCATTAGATCACATTCCATCATGTGGATCATAGTTATCGAATAATAATTTTAAAAGAAAAGTTATATTAAAAACGATAATAACAATTATTATTATTATTATTAAATCCAATTCTGATCATTCATAATAGGTACAGTTCACGTGCCTCAGTTTTGGCCTGTCACGTACAGATCAGAGATTCTCGCTAATCAAGAGACCCCTTTTATATCAGACACGTGACAGCTGGAGCGTGGAAGGTGGCGTGGACTTGCCACCACCTTATCCTCTGCAGTCACCGTACACTAACTCAAGACACGTGCGATTGCAGGGGAGAGACGTTTTGGAGCGTGCGGATTCAGATGCACCTCCCTTGCACGTTAGAGGAAGTCACGGCTTTTCAAACTCTTGAACCAAAACCACGGAGTTCATTCCTTAGTCTAAGTTATCTAATCATGCTACTTAAAATATGCCAAGAACACGTATCTTTGATCTCATGAGGATATGCGTCCATCTCTATGAAACGAGTACGTTGGTTGAACTGTCACGTGTCAACGGTGGAGTCTAAGAAGGCGGGCATCATTCCAATCTTAAAAAGAACGCCTCACTGTCACGCAACCATCGGGAAGAAACCGGCAGCAAAAACCAGTCGGATATGACTACCTTATGGTTAACGGGTGCACACGGAATGTGTCAGTTTCACATAAATACCCTCGAAAAATTATATTAAGTGTATTTTCTTACATTCACATAAAAAATAAGAGCTAATTATAAATTATCATTCGTAATTAGTTATCTTTAATATCTCGATCATAACACCTTAAAAAGTTACATAAATATTCTTATAACTATGAAAGTAAAATATCTAGATTCATTATTCTAATGACATCATTTTTATTAATAAAAATATAAAAATAAAAGATAAAAAAATATAATTTTACTATTTCAGTTAATGATGATAAACAACATCGATAGTGGCGGATGACGATATCATTGGCAATAATGCCGACATTATTATCGAGTGACCCTTTCACTGCTCTGTATGTGCATCAGCACTTTGTCATCACGGAATCAAAGTCCGCTGCCGAAGTCATTGCGAAAATCTATAGCCTATCGAAGCAAGACCCAGAGATGTGTGACCCTGTCGGTGATGCTAATATCGTGCCACTCTATGTCGCCTGCCTCCTCAATCACCACCACCACCACTCGTCTGCGGTTGAGACATATGAGAATGCCACCACTATCCTCATCAACCTCTTCATCTCCGCTTGTGAGGCACTCATGTGCACACCTTGGGTATTCTCACCATCGCCCTCTGCCTCCTCTCTCGTGTTGCCACAACCCTTTACAACCTCCTCTTCGTCGAAACATCCCGCTCCATCATCGGATCAAAGAAGCTCCTCGTTATCTCCATCATGGACCTTCTTGATGCCCTCGATGCGTCGATTAGGTCTATCAAAGACATGCTCAAGGCTCTTTTTGTCTTAGCCCTCTACATGCTTAACTGCACTGCCCTAATCGAACTAGGCATTGTGCTACCCCTCTTCTCGCAGGTGGTGAAAGACAAGCGGAGGGGGGTGGTGGAGGATGCGATGATGACAATCGTCCAGGTGGTAGGATGCAACGAGAGTACGAAAGCATTCTAAAGGGTGGACAACATCAATGTCCTGGTAGATCTGGTGGTTGGGGAGAGTAGGAGGGTGAGGAAAAATGCTACAACTGCACTACTGAATCTGGTAAAGAGCAATAGAGATAATGCAATGGGATATGTCAAGGAGATGGACGTGGTGGACGCAACAATGAGAGCTTTGGTTGGCACCGATAGTAGGACGAACATGAGGGGGAAGAGCAGGACAGAGACATCGTTGAAGGTTATAGAGAGCAGGCAGGGGAGCTAGTTATAGAGCCTTGATGATTCCAAAAGACCGGCACCAATGACTCCACGTTGCAAACACCACAAATGTTGCTCTGTGATGGGAATCGTAGAGCACTCCATCGTTGCTCTATATCCGTCTCCACCGACTGAAATGTTAAAATTATATTTTTACCTTTTACTTTTATGTTTCCATCATTAAAACCGACGATGTTACTGTAAATCGATTTAGATATTTTATTTTCGTATTTATAATGATACCAATGTAACTTTTTAAAGTATAAGAATCGAAATATTAAATATAGCTAACTAAAAATAATAATAAGTAATTAACTCTACAAATGATATTTTCATAGTCTATAAAATTAATTATACCTTTTTTATTATTAACTTAAAGGACAATTACATTACAAGTACGATTGTTTACAGAAATTATGTGCAAATTTAAGTTTTAGAATATAACATACAATTGATAAAATAATCTGAATACGTAAGTATCCAAACATCTTTCATATTCGAGTAACTCCAATAAAATATCAACTTAATTTCAACCGTTGCAAGAATCCACTATAAAAGTTTCAAATATGCTATTTATTTAATTCTTTGAATTCATCGAGTCCATTAATATTATTTTTATTTTTATTTTGACTTAAAAATTTAAATAAATATTTGTTAAGATATTTGAATTGATTAATATATTATTACATAAATAATAAGCCTTAGACTCAAGAGTATATTCATGTGCATCATTTAATATAATAATTTGTTTAAATAAGTATTTATAGGACATACTCCAATAATCCCTTATTAAATTTAATTATCTCCCACCATCAAATTTAGAAAGGCTCCCATCCCAACCAAAATAGGAGCTTGGATATGCTCGGACTCCAACCAAAATTAGTTATGTGACTTGAAACTTAGGACAAACAATAAGCTACTTCTAAAACGGGCATATAAGAAGATAAAATACATTTGCACATACAATCCTACAAAACCTAAATTTATAATTATGTAATTATAGTCCGTCTCCATCAATTAATTATCATATGGTTATAATCTTCGATCTATATGAATGGAATTGGATACATGTAATTGAGTGAATATTAATATAGATGATAATATATACAGAAAATCTAAATATTCGAAGGTATATATATATACGCAATATTTGTTTCAATAATTTTGCAGATATATGCTGGAAGAAATGGAATAAAACCTAAAAAATAACCCACAACGATACAAGTAAAATAATATTTGTTTCAGGACTTTTGCAGATATACGCCGTAAGGAGTGGAATGAAACCTAAAAAGGACCCCACAACTCTACAAATACTGCGTTAAAGACTGGAAGCGTCTCCCATAAACACTTCCTTGCCGTCTCGTTTCCTTTGTCCTTTTCCAATCCTTTCTCCATCCCGTCTCCCCCCGCCCCCCTCCTCTCTCTCTTCAAAGGCCGAGAAAGCAGAGAAAGGAAGAATCTTTAGGCCTCCAGCCCCAACATCATCGCCGTTCGTCCTCGATACCGCCGGAGCCGGTCAAGGAAGCAGGGGCGGGATGTCGTCTCCGAGCAAGCGCCGCGAGATGGACCTCATGAAACTGTAGATCGCTGGAGAAAACTCCGACTTTGATCCGGTGTTCTTGTTTCTCTCTTTTTTGCTTTTTTTCTTTTCGTTGATTCGTGCCTTCGTTTCTTGTTGTGGCGCGCAGGATGATGAGTGACTATAAGGTGGAAATGGTGAACGACGGGATGCAAGAATTCTTTGTGGATTTCCACGGCCCCAACGAGAGTACATCATTTACTACTCATGAATCTTTAATGCTAGTTTCATTTCGTCAGAGATCCGGGGTTTCTTGGATTTCGTTTTCCGCTTCGGGTATTCTTGCTAATCTGATTTGACGGGAGAAGGTGGTGGTTGGTGTTAAAGAGGGACTTCAATCTATCGGCGCTCGTGTTTCCATTTCTTCTTTAATCTTTTTTCTGTCTTTTTAACCCAAAGATTCGTGTATTCGAGGTGTCGGAATAAAGAAATAGTTAATGCAAAAGAGGAACTTAAAGCTATTTACTTTTGTTTTCTTTAATATAAAGTTAAGAAAGTTAGATTTGAGATGTTAGAAATATTGATTTAGTTGTTTCTTTTGTTTGTTTCAACTCAGCTACACGGTCAAAATAACTTCTTTGTGACTATTCGGATAGGTTTTGTGAAGTTATAGCACTGAGGTGCATGCTTGGTGATTATTGGACTATCTATTGAAATTGATTAGTTTGGCTATTCATCCTTTTATCCTACTGCTAATGGTTTGCTTGTCTTGATTTATTATGAAAATCTTTGATCAGTCAGTATCTGATCGTGACGTTAGCTTTTGATGGACTCCCTGGTGATAAGTTCAAAGCTTACTTGTTGATCATGGCAGGCCTCTATCAAGGAGGAGTGTGGAGAGTAAGGGTTGAACTACCAGATGCTTATCCTTACAAATCTCCTTCAATTGGATTTATTAATAAGATGTATCATCCTAATGTAGATGAAATGTGAGTCTCTGGGTGCCCTTCTTCTGTTAGTTCATTATTTTGGGACAATCTTTTCCTCCTCCTGTAGCCTTTTTTCAATAATCCACAATGATATAAACAAATTCCGAAGATTAGAATTTCTGCATTTTGCTCATTGTTTGGCATTCCAACATTTCAGGTCTGGTTCAGTTTGTTTGGATGTTATCAACCAAACTTGGAGTCCTATGTTTGGTAATAGAAACTGCCCTTATCATTGTCCTCAGTAATTCCTTGATTGGCATATAAAGTGATGTGCTACACCTAATAATTTGATGATTTAATTAATTGGAAGTTAATTTTGTGCAAATTTCCTGTCAGATCTTGTCAATGTATTTGAAGTTTTCCTCCCGCAACTTCTTCTGTACCCAAACCCTTCAGATCCATTGAATGGGGAAGCTGCAGCATTGATGATGCGCGATCGGCCTGCTTATGAAGAAAAGGTTAAAGGTAATGCATTTTTTTAGATTTAAGACATCCCATGCTTGGTCTATCTGACATTTATGCAGTTTCTTGGATTAACCAAATTACTGGTACAATGATATTGGTCTGTATTGGCTCACTACCAAAGTCCTGTTTAAATGATATCTGCAAATGAATTAGGGACTTAAATGCTGATATGGAGATAAATCCTCTAGCATGAGTTTCAAATAGGTGTTTTTTTTAATGGAGTATATTTGTCATATAATCTAAGTTTACATTTGTGCTTACAATGAGCAAGTTGTAATGTCCAAAAAAATCAGGTGGCACATGCGGTTAAAAGGATAAATGAAGAGAAAGGGTCAAGATCCACAAGAACTAGTTATATTAGCATATTATACTTCTCCTTTGTATGTGCATTCTCATTTGAGATCCTTGCATCAAGTATTTGTTTCTTGTGCTGAGCTTCTATCTTGGCTAAAACCTGATTATGATGATGGTACACCTGAAACTTGCATGGAATAGTGGGAAGCCAGGTGACACAGAGATTTTCAGTTTAAGCTCATTTTGTTGGATGTTAAGATAGGGCAAGATACAGATAAAAAGGGTCATTGGTTGTTGCTTTTTCTTTGACAATTGGAAAAGATAGTGCAGGGCAATTGGGGCTTTAGTTTTCTCTGGCAGACATACTTTAAGGACTTCTAGTTTATGTAGTGACTGTGGATGAAGCTTCTGGGTTAATGGATCAAATCTTTGAAGAAGGTTCATTTTCTAGTCATATTGCTATATTTTGTACTTTTGATAGTACTTGAATCTTTTCTTAAACAACTTCTACCAGGTTGTTCTCTTGTTGTCTTTTGCTTTTGTATCAGTTGGAGGGCTTGGGCACTCTGTGGAACACATTCTCAAAAGAAGTTACTTAGATTGGAAATATGAGAGGGAAATATATTAAGTTTTGACATCAATCAAAATTAAGTGATCATCATATGGTTGTAATTCCTGAAATTTTTTGCTTATGTGTTCTCTTTTGGTATTATAAATACTGAATAGTCTGGTTATAAATTTAACCTTGGTTAGCTTATTACTTGGACTGCCTAAAGTTGATTGAGTACAATTTGTTATCACCAATAAAGAAAACAGAGCAAGTTTCACTTGTTTTTCAACCTGTTAAAATCAAAATTGGAGTGGACTATTATCTTTCAGTTGCATATTTTTGGAAAATCCTTTTAAGGGTATGTCACTGATTCACTAACAAATCAAAAGGTCTTGCCTTTGCAAGGTGATTGTTTTAGTTGTATGCTACAAAAGATTTTATTGATCTGACATGTCAATAAGTTTGTTTAATATTTCTTGCATCCTGCGATATATATATATATATATATATATAGAGAGAGAGAGAGAGAGAGAGAGAGCCATTTTGTTTTCCCCACGAAGCTACTCAGTAAATCAACAGATCATCTTAAGCGAGATTAAGTTTGCAGTTCCTCTAGTTGCAAATTGTGTTTGCCTATTCTTGCTATCTCTATTCATCCCATGGTAATTACTAAAGAAGATCAAGATTGACATCTGACATCTAAATTTTTTGTCATTTGGCATTGTTTGTGAATGCTGTTTTATTCCTTAATCATTGCTGTTCAGATGTTAATCTCATTCTTAATCAATTCTGATATGATATGCTCAATCCATATTAATTTTATAGTTAGACATTGGTCAGAATTGGTTAGCTTTGATTTCTTTAGTTTTTGTCTCCTGTAATCTTTGGTATGAATTAGCTCCTCTCTGATATTTTCTAGAAAAAAAATACGGTTTTACACATTTATATTTTAACTTTTTGGGGTTGGCTTCATGGTTTATTTTAAGGCTACACAACATGGTTAGCTAATGTCCTATCCTAATCTAACTATCCAAGATCAATCTTATATTATTCCATAAATTTTGAGCAAGTTTCCTTGATGCATTTTATCACCTTCAGTAGTCCATCTAAAAATCATTAGGTTATTACATCCTAACATTTGGACACACAAAGAATGATTGGGTGTGCCTATATCATTCGTGTCCATATTCTTCATGAAGTTTGTTCAGATTCTTACTGAAAACAGATTTGAGTAATTTACCATGCCAATGACTCAAAGAATTATGAGTTTCTATGGCATATTTATCTATTGATCTTCTAATAAACATAAACATTGTTGAATAACCTACTCTGTCCATCTTATTTGGAGAAATGTGAAACATTAGCAAATTTGCGGCAAACGATTCTGGTTTGATTGAAATATAACAGTTATACATATAACTTCTATAACAGTTATTTGCAATAAAACTGGACCAATCACATGAAATCATCCATATAGTTCTCTGTTTCCTACCCGAGAGCCTTGTTAAGAAGTGACAAATTTTGAGCTATTATGTTAGACTCTTTGGTTGTTTGATAATGCAGAGTCCCTGATTGGCACTGCTTGTGAGATACCTTAGTTTGAAGCTCTTAAAATTTGCATCATATAAAATTACAAGTGAAGTTCTTACCAGATTTGGCATACCATTACGGCTGTTTGTGCTTGTTCAACTAATTTAGTTCTTGTCATGAATAATTCTGTGCTTATAGCACAGTTAGACATGAAATTTTCTGACAAAGTGTACTGACTAAATGTTGCACCCAAGCATTTGGAGATTTTAGATGTTGGTGAAATTAAAACAATAATCCTGTTGGTTTGTGTTGACAAGAGGATGCCATTTCCCTACTGCTAACTTCTGAAGGATGATAAGAGGCTTTTTCTGTTGTGTGAATCTTGTGTTGGACCCATTTTGTCTTTCTACGTAAACTAATTTATTTTGTTGATTTGACATTTATTTTTAATTTTTCTTTATTTTTTGTATTTAATTTCTTGCTGCTCCGTTTACCCTCATTATCCAGAATACTGTCAGAAATATGCAAAGCCTGAAGATATTGGCGCTTCTCCAGAAGACAAGTTGAGTGACGAAGAGCTGAGTGAAGATGAATATGATTCCAGCGATGAACAAGTGGTGGGAAAACCTGATCCTTAATTGGGTTTCTCTGTTTCCTGTACATCTTTGTTTCAGCTACTAGAAAGAAGATTAAATTCTTTGTTTTATGTGCCACTGTAAATAAGCATACCAAATCATCAAGTTATCTATGGCTATTGGACTTTGTTTAACCAGATTATTCTGAGATCTAAAGGACTTGGAATTGCATACCTGTCACCGTTGTATGTCATGCCATATGAAATTGTTTTCCTAGTGGTGTTTTATTCATATATTTTCTTGAGCTGCTGTTGATTTGTTTCAGTCTCTAATCGGTATTTGAATGTTCGGTAGATACAGTCTCTCTTTTGAGGTATCAACTTTGGATGTATCATCTTCGTTTTTGGGCAGCTTTTTTGGTGTCTCTTCTCTTTGAATGCTTCACAAAGTATGAACATTTGTGTAGATGTTACTTGTACTTTGTAGCAATTAATAGCTGGGATGATACGTGGTTCTGAAATCAAGAACTTTAGTGGTGTTCTCTACATCCGCATAGTTTCTGTTACTCTCTGGTTTTAGTGGTGTTTGGACTGTCATATATGTTGCAGATTTCCACCATGGATGTGTTGCCTGATAGATTCATATTTCATGGAATGTGACATAAAACTGTGCATCATTAATGTAGATGAAATGATTGAAACCAAGGTTTGAAATTTGTTCATGGGTTTGGATTCGGATTATATTGAGTTTCGAAAAAAAATGGAATAAAATATAAATAATATAAAGGTTACTCGCTATGAGATCGAGATCGGTATGGCATATGACTTCAGTATGCGCGTACCATCCGGTTTAACCTAGTAAATATCATTTGTGTTGAATATGGTATGACTTGACTTCAGTACGCGCGTACCATCCGATTTAACTTAGTAAATATCATTTATGTTGAATATGGAATGGTATTATGACACAGTATTTGAGCCAATTTTGGAATAGTGGTTTTGCTCTACTCTGCATATCAACTCCATCGCCACCCTCGATCGTTACTTTCTCTATTGCCGGCCCCGATCGTCGTTGTCTCCACTTTTGTAGCCCCTAATCGCCATTGCCTTTGCTACCCCATTCTCTCACGATAAGTGGTGTCACCCTCTCCTCCTTTCCCCTTCCTCCCCTGTTACCCATGCTACCTCTACTATTGGTGCCCTCATTGCAGCGATCATCGCCCACCTCCCTCAATAAGACTATAACTACTACGGTTGCAACTCTCCCTTCCTCACGATTAAAGACGGGGAGATCGCTACCCACGTTGCCCTCTGTCACTCCCCCTGCATCACAATCAAAGACAAGAGCCCTTTGGCTTTGCTCATGGGGCTCCTATGGGAGGCAAGTGGCAAGGGGCGCTAGCAACAGAGGCGACAAGGGAGGAGGGGGCGAGGAGGAGAAGAGAAAGAGAGGAGAGGGAGGCACCATTAGAAGTGGGAAAAGTGGAGTGACGAAGGTGATGATGGTCAATGGTGGTGGCAACGACAATGATCAAGGGTTGTTGATGGAGGGATGGTGGTAGTAACAACGATGATCGACGGTTGCTGATGGAGGCCAGAAGCATTTTCATTAAATCGATAAAAGAAGTGTAATACTGAAATATTTTAAAGATAAAATATTTATAAAAAAACAAGAGAAAGGCATAAACAATGGGAGAAAGTTGCAAGGTATAAGTCAATGACATGGTCTTGATGAATCCATCCATTTCATATCATGTTCTTCAACTGATACGGACAAGCATGCAATTTCTTCCTTTCTGCTGCTGCTTCTCTTTTGGTTTCTAATCAAACTATAATCTTCCACGGTCGGCCGTTTTCTTTAGACAAAACCAAGCGGGATCTCAGCGTCAAGTGCAGTCTCCAGAACCTTCTTCTTCTTATTCTTCTTTCAACTCGCCGGTCCAGATCCAATACTTCCAATCTCTCTCTCTCTCTCTCTCTTAGATCAAGCAAGCGGCAGCGAAGGAAGGGATCCAAGAAAGAAATGGTGGGCGGGCGGACACTGAGCCACCTGAGCTCGGGCGCACTCCGCGTCGGGGGAGTTGGCAGCGGCGGTGGCAACCTCTGCTTCGCTCTCTTCGTCGTCGCCGTCCTCATCTTTACTATCATCGCCGCTACCTACCAGCCCGATGACCCCCTCCTCCACTCCTCTGCCGCCGACTCTAGGCTTGCCTCCTTCCTCACTTCCACCTCGAACGCTACCTTTCTTTCCGATCCCTCCGTCCTTCGCACTGGTGAGGACTTTCTCAACTCCTCCTCCAATTCCACCTCCGCCGCCGTGGGAACTGAGGCCGCCGCCTTCATCGAGCTCTCCGACATCAACTCCACCGCGGCCTCTGCCGCCGTCGTCCCTGTGTGCGACCCCGCCGCGCCCGTGGACTGCGCCGATCCGGAACTCTTCCACCTGCTGATGCGCGCTGCCATCGAGGCCTTACCGGACATCCACTTCTACCGCTTCGGCAAGCCAGTCGCCGTCCCCGGTGGGCCGGGTTCCTGCGATATGGCCTGGCGTTTCCGCCCCAAGGACGCCACTCGGCCCATGTTTTACAGAGACTACCGCCGGTTCCACCTGACGCAGTCCGCCAATTGCGTCCTCTCTGTCTCCAAGGTCGATGACTTCCACTCCGGTGTCAACGCACGCAAGCGCCGCGGCTCCAAGCCCGATTATGCTGGCGAAGACTCCGCCTTCGGGGCCAAGAAGGCCGATGAGACGACAGCGGCGGTGCCGGTCGTTGGCGAGCCGGTCAACGACACCCTCCCAGTGATCGATTCAGAATCCGCGTTCGCCTCCGGACGTTATCTCATCTACATGAGCGGCGGTGACCGCTGCAAGAGCATGAATCACTACTTGTGGAGCTTTCTTTGCGCGCTAGGCGAAGCTCAGTACTTGAACCGGACGCTCGTCATGGATATGAAGATTTGCCTGTCCTCGATGTACACGCTGACGGGCCACAACGAGGAGGACAAGGACTTCAGGTTATACTTCGATTTCGAGCATTTGAAGCACTCTACTCCGGTGATCGACCAAGGCCAGTTCTGGACCGACTGGGGGAAATGGCACGAGAAGGACGGACTGAGCCTCTACTATGTTGATGACTTCAAGGTCACCCCCATGAAGCTCGCCGATGTCAAGGACGCATTAATCATGAGGAAGTTTGACGACGTCAAGCCGGATAATTACTGGTACAGGGTCTGCGAGGGTGAAACCGAGTCTGTGATCCAGCGGCCATGGCAACTCTTATGGAAGTCACGACGGTTGATGGAGATTGTCTCTGCGATAGCCTCCAGGATGAATTGGGACTTCGACTCGGTTCACATTGTGAGAGGTGAGAAGGCGAAGAATGCTGAGCTCTGGCCACACCTTGCTGTCGATACTTCGCCAGAGTCACTTCTTGTGACTCTCAAAGATAAGATTGAGGAGGGGAGGCACCTATATATTGCAACTAACGAGCCTGATACTTCGTTCTTTGAACCTTTGAAAGAAGCATACACTACATACTTCCTTGACGATTTTAAGGATCTATGGGGTGAGAACAGTGAATGGTACTTGGAGACTAAGGAGCTTAACAACGGGGTACCAGTGGAATTTGATGGGTATATGAGGGTTGAGGTGGACACAGAAGTGTTCTTGAGGGGTAAGAAACAACTCGAGACCTTCAATGATCTCACCAATGATTGCAAGGATGGTGTTCATACATGTCCTACATCTTCTTGATCCTACAATAGAGATACTTGGTATGCCAGCATTTTGAGGAGTTTATGCAATGCTTGCTTTGACATCAGGCAGTATACTAAGCCTTTTTTTCCTTTATGTCCTTAAGAACTTGTTCTTCCTCCATGTCTTCAGAACTGTTGTGTTGTACTAGATTTCTACTCAATTCTACTGTGTTGTTCAGAATAGAAGCAATTTTTTGTGATTCAGATAGGATTGTCTCTATAGATCCTGCTTATTGCTGTAATCTCCTACCTGATTGTGAGT